GTTTTCTGCTAGCAACATTCCATCTGCACATTTGAATGAATGTGGATTTATCAAGGTGATATATGTGTGACGTTTAACAGGAAATTTGATCTTGTTAGTGTTTAAGCCCAGCATCCATGAGCATTGACTGTGGCTCTTTAACAAAGCATCAGGGTTTAGGGGTTGTCCAACCACACAGCCTCAGCTGGGCTTTCTGGTCCGGCGGGGCACCTCCTCCTCCACATGCTGTTATGGACAGCACACAGAGATGGCAGCAGGGTGAGGGCGCTCACTGTGCTGCTCCTAATACCTCCTGAGTCCTTAACTCCCCAGGGTGGGCTCATCGTCCTAGAAACTCATTTTAAGACTGGAAAAATTTTCAAACATTTTTTTCTCATTTCCTTTCCCACACACTAATAGAATAATACGTTTTACGTAAGGAAGAACCCTAAAGAAAGCAAAACAGGACCAAAACAGGTATCTCCTGAGGATACCAGTCTTATAGTAAATAAAGATACAAAGAGTAAAGTATACTCAAAATCTCCCACATACGTTGGAAACAACATCTTCAAAAAGTTAATGCGCACAAAAGCACATACTCAGGACATAACTCATCATTATGGGAAAATGAAAATGGTAGCCCGATGTTATGGCTAATTCTGAATAAAGGCAAACTAATAACATTAGGGCAGCTTTCAGGAAATAGGAATTTACTTTTTTTGTCACAGATGTGCTTCGGTGCCAAATATTTTCAGACTCTTTACTGTTATGGAAACAGTGATGTGCCTGCTTTCTTTTGAGTGCAATAAATGAATTTTTAAAAGGTTATGAAAATACGTGTCCACTTAAAAAAAAGTTCTTTCAACAGTCTATTGGGTATCTGGGATACCCATATATCAGCGGTCTTTGTCCTCGGCCTACAAGGAAAAATGCCAAAAACACTCCAGAGTGCCAGGCTTTCAAAAGGTGCTGAAGAGAGCCTGCCCAATTATCTGAATTCCAATTTGGCTCCCAATGAAAAGTAGAAAAATTACCTAGATGCTTTTCCATGTTGCTCCTCCAGTTGCAACAGACCTTATCTAATAGTTTATTACACTCAGACAAACAAAGCACATTCTGAGGGGAAAAAAATATATCACAGTTCCTGTCTCTGACAGAATGGTCTCTTTGAATTCTTTTGTTGATTTCATAGATTTTTAACAACCAGAGGATTGTTTTTTAAATCTGATTTTTGTAAGCCAGCAGCACAATTTCCTCCTCTGTAAGTAGGACAGATTCATCCCATAAGCAACAATGGATGCGTCCTTGCTTAACTCAAGCATGACAGATTAAGCTTCAAGTAGACCAGTAAATGCCACCTCCCCACTTAAGGAGACTGTTCAGAGGCAGGCGTTTGGGGCCTCTGCTGGATTTGTTCCCTGAACTGCCAGCTGATGAACCACTGCTGTCGGAGGTGGCCAAGCAGCCCTGACTGAGTGAGAGGCTGTGTGAAGACCCAGAAGAGGACTGGCAGGGCTGAAGGGACATGCCTCATTGCGGATGCTTCCAAGCAAATTCCTCACCTCCAAATTGTGCCTGCCTCTGGGTAGTCGCCTGGTACAATCCCTGGCAGAAAGAAGGCACTGTGCACATGTTTGCTGAATGTAAAAGAGAAAAATGGGAGTTTGGAGATGCCTTTCAGACCTTGCCAGATAAAATGCTGTTATTTCTGGCAAGCTGGTTCGGTGACACTGACTTAAAGAATAGCTTAGAAGTTAAAAAAATAAAAAGGGGCTATCAGCAAATGAATAAGCTGATAACAAAAAAAGAAATCAGGTAAGCAGTGGCCAAAATCTGTAACTGATGAATTCTACTACAAAATGGTTTTTAATAGAAAAATGCCACTTGCAATACAATGTTTCTGTCTTTTTGAAACCATGAGTTATATAATGAAAAGTACACCTGCATCCAGAATTATAATTTGAGGATAACCATTATTGAGATGGCTGTGAGGCATCTTACAATGCTATCCAATTTGCTCCTTAGGTATTGCGTATAAAACTATAAAGGCAAAGCTATGCATTTTCTTTTCTTTTAGCACAGAAATAGAATCAAGCGTCTGCCTATCCATGCCAGAAACAGACTGAATCAAGTGATACAAAAGCGTGAATGTGCTGTTCTCAGGTTTATGTAATTGGTGGCTGTTTAACTTGTTGAAATCTTGAATCTTTCACAAGCACATGCGTATGTTTGTCATTTATCCCCTTTTCTCAGGTGCAAAGAAGGCTACCAAGGAGTCCGTTGTGATCAATTTCTGCCGAAAACCGATTCCATCTTATCGGATCCAAGTAGGTCAAGCATTTTTCTTCTCTCTAACGCGATATATAAGCAGCTGGTTGTTAACTCAGCTGAAAGCTGTATTGTGTCTCTGAAAGCTGCCAAGGACAGAAGCTGGTGACAAATGTTTAATGTTCAAAGCATGCTCAGAACTCACTGGGCCTAGGGATTCTCCAGAAGACGGAGCCTGGCCTCACGATTCCACCTCTACCCTCTGCCTGGCGTTCCCAGCACCTCCTTCCCCATTATCTCTTGGGTCTCCTCACCTCCTACTACTTCATTCCTAAAGCAAGGATATTAAAAAAGAAAATAGCTTATTTTATTCTTTACTCAAAAATATGTTATGGAAATGACAGTATCGTACACATTACAATTCTTGCATTTCAGTTGGTAATTTGTGATCATATTAAACCATGAAACATTGACCTTATGGAAGTAAGAAAATATCTGCATAAAAACTTGTCTGAGATGTTGTTAAGCCTCAAAAACTCCGTTTTTAGCAACACTATTTGCACATCAGCAATTACTGTCTTAAGGACAAATTATTTTTCCCCTATTCATGAAGACAATTTGCCCCTAGAAAATATTGCCATTTGTTAGTTTCCGTTTGTATATGAAATGAAAAAGAAACTTTCTATATGAAAATGCCCAATTTTGATCAAATGTGAAATTTTTACTTTTTCTGCAAATATTTCTCTTTTAATAGGTGCTAGTTAAATCACCACCAAAGGAAAAAAAAAAAATTATTGAATCAGCAATTTAGTTCATGGAGGATCCTAACAGATATTTCCAAATCATAGAAGCAAAGTTACAGTTTTCTGAATATCCTGTAGTGTTTGGGGTTGACTCAAAGGTTGCCCTGGCTGTCAGTGGGCATTTGCTGCATCATGAGCGTGTCTGCTCATCTTTCAATGTTTTTTCAAAATGCATATTTGTTTTCCATTTTCCTCCTGAATTCCTAGCTATGATTCCTCAAGTAAATACAAAGTTCTATAAAAAGAAAACAGTTTTGTTTAATTTAATTTAATTCTGTTCCATCTTGGCAAGGCAACTCACCATACAATAATTAATTACTCACTTCTTTGCAAATTTAGCTTTCCTTGAGAAAAGTGAAGTGTGCCCCCAGGCTAGCAAGCCACCCAGCCACTGATACCTCTGTTCTCAGAAATGTGAGGCGTGTTTCTCTAGGAATTCCCCAGAGAGGATGGTGTTACTGGACTGTTATGTGTTTTATTTATCTTGTTTATCTTGTGTTTCTGGCCACTGGCTAAGCTGGGGTTTGAAAGGCTATTCATGGTGTTTGGAGATGTCTATTTGAAATATTAGGACACTGGCATAGAAAAATAGACTTGCTAATTTTTTTCTTTCTTTCTCTTTTTATTTTTTTGTCTTTTTTTTTTTTCCATTTTTCCTGATGTTCCCCTCTTTTTGTTTTTCTCTCTTGTTGGGTCTCTGTCCTTCCCTCTTCTTTTGCTCTTTCCTTCTTTCCCTTTCATTATTTTCTTTATTTCCCTTAAGCTTTTTCCCTCCCTTTCTTTCTTCTTCCTTTTCTTTATTACATTTTCTTTCTTTCCATATATGACTATAGGAGTACAAGTCAAGATCATGGACAAGGCCTTGCCCATGGTACAAAGTGGGCAAAAAACAAACAAACAAACAAACAAAAAACCCTCTCTTTAAAAAATACAATCTAATTTGTCCATCAGTTCAAAAGTGGAGGATAAGACCCACCATAATGACTGTTTCCTCCTCAGAAAAAAAAATAATAATGATACCATGATCAGAGTTTCTATCCCTGAAAACTTAGGTCTTAGATGCATAAAAATATTTAGTGCAGCAATATTTATAATGATGAAAACATTTTTAAGTCATCAATGATAGGTTTATGTTTAAGTAAAGTATCAGATGGCACATCTATCATGTCCTATTATTAAATGCCCATTAAAATCATAACTGTGTTGGGGTGTTTCTATAAAGTGAAACCACAAGAGAGAAAATTATTTCAATATAAATTTGCAAAAGGAACATCTGTTGGCCCAAAGGTGGAACAAAATAGACTAAAATGCTTAAAAAGGACTTTCATTTTTTTTGTGTTGTGGAATTATATGAAATTGTTTTCTTTTTTTTTTTTTTGTCCTGTTTTCTGTAAAATGGCATGTCATTATGTGGGTTAAAATGCCAGAATTCCTTAAAATAGAAAAATGAGAGAGAAGCATTAAGAACCCATGGATGAGTCCCCAAGACACAGGTTAAGTGGAAAAAGCACTCTCTGTTCTATTCATCCGGGCTCTCGTTTATTTGCGTAATCACTAATTTATTCCAACAGTATTTTCTGAGCACCAACCAAGGACCATCTAATCTGTCAGACTGTGTTAATATAAAGGTGTGCAAACAGGATTTAGGCTGTGAAAACGCCATAGACCAGTGATGGAGAAAAACGTGGATGATGTACACTTGGGAATGAATTAGGTACCATTTCCCTCTTTATGACCCTGGCATATTTATTTGGCTCCCAAGCCTCAGGCTTTCATCTGAACAATGATAACAATAAAACCTGTGGGCGTATATCATAGAGATCAACAAAGAGTCAGTACCAGATAAATAAATGCTAGCCCATGTCCCTTATCCACCGTTACCCTTACTAAAGGTATTTAAATGTTAAAATGTGCCACGCACCGTGCCAGCAGCTTTACATGGATTGTCTCATTCAATACTCAAAATTGCAGTCTGGTGGACTGGCGCTTGTTCACATTTTATGGATGAGGAAATTAGACCTCAGGGATGCTAAGTAAACTTGCTCAAGGTCACACAGCTAGTTAATTCTGGAGTCTAACTTCCATTCCAAATAACCCAAGGGCCTGATCTCCCAACTGCCTGGCTCTTTCCTCTCTCCCCTAGAACCTCTCTCCCTCTGGTTGTTTTCAACAGGACATTCATCACTCTAAATTTCCATTGACTGAAACTCAGTGACCTGCGGCAAGCATTATTCTAAGGAACAATATTTGCACAATTTTCCTATCTTAATGCAGCAACTTGAGCCTCTGTAGAGATTTAAATCCCTAATGAAATTTCCTTGTCAAAATTCTTGCTGAAGGATTGTTTAATTTGCTGCTCATGATATCTTTGGAATGACTCTGTGCTCAGGAAATCACTTTCCCCCCAACACCCCCCTCTATTCTTCCCCTGTCTCCTCCCTCCTCTCCACTCTTTCCTTCTTTTTTTTTTTTTTTTGCAGTTTTTGGCTGGGGCTGGGTTTGAACCTGACACCTCCAGGGTATAGGGCCGGCACCCTACTCCTTTGAGCCACAGGAGCTGCCCTTTTATACTTTTTTTCTTTCCCACTCTTTCTTCCCTCCCTCTCCCCCGTCTGTCAATGCACGCTTCTGCTTAGTGAAATCTTGGTTGACACGAGTTAGACGCCTCTCTTCTTTTCTTCTCTCCCAGGCAACGCAACATTGATCAGAATCATGCACCTTTGACAATAAATTTTAACCTCAAAATCTCAAATTACGTCTTTTTATGGAAATGTTGCAAGGGTGTCCCTGTGAGAGCCTCAGAGCCTGTTATGACAAGTGTCTTTCCCGTGGCTCCAGGTTGGGTCCTCAAACCTACTATTCCAAAAACTCATCCTGTCTACACTCCTTATCCCCAAGAACTTACAAATGGCACCATCCAGGATGTATATACATATAAGGATCAGTTTTATGATTAGATGCCAGTTTTGGAACAACAACAACAAAAAATAGAATGCGCATAACTATCAGGTTAGTCAAACCCTCCTATGGATTCAGTGTAGCACAGCCACATTCAGATCACAAGACTGAATAGTAAGCTCTGAAGGAGGGCAGGAGAGGGACCGATGGTGGTGTGTGGAGGAGGCGGCCCAAGCTAATGGAGCATTCCTGAAAGGAACATGTGTGTGTACCAAGCTTCCTGTGCCACCAGCCAGTCCATCATGGAGGGCAGCAGGTGGCTTCCAGGATGTTGTGAACTCTTCTTGACTGTTCTGATGTAATTGTTTCAGAGGCCACAATGGGTCAGTCTGTTGACTCCTGCCCTCCTTTCTCTTCCTCACCACTCATTCCCACCCAAGGCAGTTACTATCCTCAGCCTTGAAACAGAGGTAGGTGGAGGTGGAGAGGCATGAGGTAGCCAAGGATTCAGGCATACAAATATATATTCTATATATATATTTTTTCTTTTTCTGTCTCCTCTCTTATGAGCATCTTCACCTCAAGATCCTGACATCATCATTGGCCATTGGAAACCCGAGGTCAGCTTCAGAAAATAGATTTGGGGCACAGTGAAAGACTGGGGTGGGAGTAGGGAAGATGCCCGTCAGAATCAAGGGTCCTCCTCTCCTCATACAACAAGGGGCAGCCATTTCCAGACCTCCCTGTGCTTTCTTACCAACAGCATCCAAAACTCAGCATCTCCATGGCCATGACAATCGGTAACGAGTCTGCAGGCCAAAGCTTTGGCATACGGTTTATACAGCCTAGACTCCTGGAGTCATCTAGTCTCCACCATGGAAGGATGGAGGATAATGCCCAGCACTGGTCTGTCTGCCCTGACTTACATTCACATTTTGGTTTCTTTAGATCTTAGAACCAGCCTCTGTGCTCAAAACACTTGGAAAGGTGCCAGAAGCCTGGTCTGAATTTGATTCAGTAGAAATCAGACTAGTGAAAAATACGATATGGGTTTAGATTTCCCATCACCCCAATCTGGGCTTGTGGACCTCAACTTCCCTGGAATAGTCACTTCATAAGGCAAAAAAAAATAAATTTTTCCATAGCATGTGGTTCTAGCCCAAGAGAGAGGATCGGGAGGAAAGTGAACCAGTGGTTACTGCCTCACTTCCAAATGGTCTGCAGAGACAACTAACTCAGACTTGAGGATGCCCATGAGATTGGCCCCAGCACCCAAGTTGCTCAGAGCAAATGGAGTTCCTTTGCCGTTTGCAGGACAGTAAAAGAAGAAAACTTGGAAACAACCCTAGAAAAGACAA